GTTTGCAGCCCGATTCATAACCACTACGCTACCAGAGCTCCTTAAACCAACTCAATAGCACTTAACAAAAACACATGCTTGACAAAGAATATTTCTACATATGTATTTATATGTGTTGTGCATATATCCATAAGTATAGTAGAGCATACAGGGGCAAAGTTATGAAAACTTCTAAGCCATAACCAAATACCTTGAAGGACTGAGTCACTGGGCTTAGGTGCTAAGGACCATAGTCTCAGGGGGCACCAAGGTAAACTGGTATATAACATAGTCCACAATGACAATGTTCTACATCTTACACTGACGAGTAGGACTGTGGTCTTAAAATCTTGTGGCTGGTTATCAGATGCTGTTCTATACCCATCAGGAGCAAAGACGACTGGAGAAAATCAAAGACACAAGGAACCAATTAGAACTAATAGCCCTGAAACTAGAAGAACTAGATGGTGCCTAACTATCATTGTTGGTCACTCTGAAAGGCAGTAAATAGGAAGCCATGGATAAAATGGGAGAAAAATGTTGAGCAAAAGTCAAAATTGTAAAAACAAAAAAATCATGTTTAGTGGGCTAAGAGAGACTGGTGGAACTCCCAAGACTAAGACCCTTAGACACCGTTGAAACCTGGAATTGAACTCACCTCAGTGGCTCAACTTTCAGCCAGACAATAGACCTCTAAGGGGAACAATAACACCAGGAAGATACACACTCCTTAGAGCAATACAGACATGATCAAAGGGCAGCATTTGCCCAGGAAAAAAGTTCAGAAGGCAGGAAACAGGATGAATGTAGACAGTAAACACAGGGAAGAAGTGGAAAGAGTGCTGTTACTTGTGGGAACTGCAACCAATGTCACAAAACAAAATGTGGATGAAATGTTGAATAACAAACCAACTTGCTCCGTAAACTTTCATGAAAATCACAACAAAAAGTTAAAAATAATGTATGAAGTATTCAAATACTTATGTCCAAAAAAGATATACAAATGGCCAATGTTGTTAAGTGCCATCGAGTCAGTCAGTTCTGACCCATAGCGGCCCTGTATAGGGTTTCCGAGGAGCAGCTGGTGAGCTTGAACCACCAACCTTGCAGTTCAAACGGTTTTGCAGTCTGGCGCATTAACCCACAGCACCACACCAGGACTCCTTCAAATGGCCAATAAGCACAGGAAAATATACTCAAAATCATTGTTGTTGCTGCTGTTAAGAGCCATCGAGTGAATTCCATCTCATAAAGGGACTGTATAGGGTTTTTCAAGGAGTGGCTGGTGGGCTTGAACTGCTGACCTTGCAGTCAGTTAGTAGTACAGTGCTTATTATTTAGTAGAAAAAATGCAAATCAAAACCACAATGACATACCATTTCATATCATACCCAATTTTGTTTTTATTGCCTTCAAGTCAGCTGCAACTCATGGTGAATCCATGGATAACGAAATTGTTGCCAGTCTTGTTACAGCTTCATGATCATTAATATATTTGAGATGATGGTCTGGTTATTTTGTCTCATGGAAGGTTTACCTCATTTCTGTTGGCCCTCTACCAATCATGACATCCTTTTCTAAACAATTGGTCTTTTCTGATGATGTATCCAAAGTAAGCAAGCTGAAGTCTTGCCATCTTTGCTTCTAAGGAGCACCCTGGTTGTGTTTCTTTTAGGACTGATCTGTTCATTCTTCTATGGTCCACATTATATCCAATATTCTTCACCAAAACCACAATGCAAATGCATCAATTCTGTCTTGCTTTTTCTTTGTCCAGCTTTAGCATGCATATGAGACTACTAAAAAGACACCACCTGTCCCACAATTTGTCATAGTATGGAGGTTTGTGTGTAGCTGTGAAGTTGGAAGCAATGCCACTGGTATTTTACATATATCAATTTCACTCTTGGTGGATAGGGTTCAGAAGAGCTTCCAGACTAGGAAAAGAGGCTGGGCAATCTATTTCAGAAATCAGTCACTGAAACCCTATACATAACAGTAAAATATCATCCAATGTACAACTGAAGTCTCAACCTCCAGTATGTGTGAATGTGACCTTCTATGGAAATAGGGTATATGCAGATGAAAATTAACATAAGACCATGCTGGAGAAGGATAGGCATTATATAACTGGTGTCCTTATAAAAAGAGGGTAAGAAACATACAGAGGAAAGATGGTCATAAGGAGTAAATTTCTGTTGTTTTAAGCCACTAGCTTGTGGTATTTTGCTACAGCAGACATACAAAACTAATGACAGCTGGGAATGTCTTTTGTTTATTTTGCATGTATTATTTTGCTTTTAAATACTGATTATATTGAAAATAATAATTACTCTTGAAATTCTTATAATATTAAGCAATCTAAGTACCGGTGCATCTTGCTTACCATTATCACCATTTATTCTTATTTCATATTCTTTGTAGAGTTTTCCTATGGTTTTTCTAATGTCCTCCATGTAGTGCCGCTCTGGTGGCATTTCCCCCTCCATGTTTTTATGGCGAACAAATATCCCAAGCCCAACATCTGTCCAGTTTTCCTGTAAATGTTTAATAATCTTGAGAGAATCATATTTGGACAGCAGAATATCTCCAGCATACTTTTCTTTATCATCATTCAACATCTAGAAAATGAAAAGGGGAGAGGCAGAAGTAGCACATTAGTCACTAATAATTTAATCCACCCAGGTGTTTATTTCCCAGTGACCCCCAAATATTTGGGGGTTGTATGTCCTATTACTATTTTTTGTACCATTTCTCATTTTAAAAAATTGATATGAAACATACATTTTCTTTTTTAAATTAAAATGAATTTAAATTAATTTTCACATCGTATATAACCCAAGGTTTACCAGAATAAATTTAATTATCCTTATATTAAATTCTGTATGGATAAAAAGTTAATGATAGACAATTTAGCCCTATAGATTGGAGCACATTTCATTACAACCTGCTTTAATAAGAACATTTTAGGTTGTAGTGCATCTGTTTACATTATCCTTACTATACCGGACAAATGGAGTCCTGGTGTGGTGCTCTGGTTAATGCGCTGGACTGCAAGGTCAGTTTGAACCAAAAGGTCAGCAGCTCAAGCTCATCAACTGCTCCTTGGAAACTCCATACAGGGTCACTATGATTTGGAACTGACTTGATGACACTTCAGAACAAAAATACTGGAAATGGTGAAATAGGCTTCTTGTGATGCCTTGGTAGTGTACAAGACCTTAGGTGTAATCCTGAGTCCCATCCAGAACCTTCTGAGGTGGGACATTCCCACTTGAAAGGACAAACAGGGAAGCCTGGAGCAGCTAGAGGAACAGAAAATACTTCTTGAAAGAAAGACCAGCAGGAAAAATAAAAATTGCAGTCTAAATGGCTACTACAAGGACAAGCAAGTTGTTTGTTGGAGAGCCATCAAGGCAGGCAATGAAGTCCCTTGAGGACAACCCCACCACCACCACACACACACACCGAAACTCAAAGGGATCACAAGAGCAACCATGTAAGCTTACTGGCAACCACTGTTAGTTTACTAGTGAGTGGAAGTGGGGGAAAGGCAACAATAAAGATAGGGGCTGAGTCCAACCATGTTCCATAGCCTCCCATCGACCTGGAGATGAGAGGGATAAGAGGACGATCTGGTTGGTCTGAAGTATCGGTCTCCTGAGCCCATGGACTAGGAAGCTAGAGATCAGAGTGGAGCATTCAGCTGAACTGAAGTGAGGGGAGACACACAAGAATATTCAAACTTTCAGACAGTACCCATTTGATCTAGCTTTGATGGTTTGCAGCTCACAACTCCACTAAAAGAGGATTTAACTTTTTGATAAAGGAAACAAGTGTAAATTGCTACAATTTGATAAACCTGACTTACATTTATGGATGTACTAGCTCAATATACCAACTAAGAGGGAAGAAGTCTTCATCCTACCACATCCCTCTGTATGCAGGGGTGATAGGGATGGGCAACTTAGACACTGGCTATCTAAAAGGGGAAGGGGTTAAAGGCACGAAGTGACTGGCTTACAAGTTTTCAAGATGGAGCTTAGTTTAAGAGTGTGCAGGGGAAAGTAGAATCCCCACTGAATGCTTTTCATCTCATCTAGACAGGTCTGGTGAAAGGTGATAAGGATAAGATTCTT